GAAATCCTCTTGAGAAGCCTAATTATAACATATATCCAAAGAGAAAAACCTCAACTTCAGGAAGGTGATCCAAGACAAAGACCCAGAAATAGAGTCGTGACTTTTTTAAACAATCCTTTGAAGTCTGCTCTGACACATAAAAAACAATGAAAGCTTAAGAATTCTATGCCTAGTGTATTTGTACCTAGGTTATATTTGAGGTGATTAACACTTTGCCTTGGATTTGAAATAAATCTTAGTATTTATGAATGAAAGATAAAGTAGTCAGAAAATGGACCCTCCCTAATTGAATGAGTTAACTTTAAGGTGAATGAAATGAGATAAAAATGGTTTTACTCCCTGTAAAGGTCAATGTTTTTAAGTACTATACAAATGATTTTTTAAATTTTTAATAATATACCGTTAGAAAATACTAAATTTTAGGTAGCCTAGTCTTCTGTGAATTTATTTGCAGATTCTTGATTTCTTAAGCATGGATGAAATTAAGAATAATTCTGAGGTTCAAAACCAAGAATGTGGCTTTCGGAAAATTGCCTGGGCATTTCTTAAGGTATGTTTTTCACCATTTTAAACACTTTTAAAATAGTCTTCAAATGTAGTTGGCTGCTTTCTCCCACGTCAGTTTGGTTTCATATAAGGAATTAGAATCTAAGGTAAGGTTGTAAGAATGAAGAGTTATTAATTCAAGCTCAGGTTATGCTCATTCAGATTCTTAAATATTTATAAATTTTTGTGCGCCAGTTACAGTATGTGCCAGTTACACTATTTGGTTCTGAGGATGTAGCATTAAAAAAGACACAAACAGCCATGCCATTTATTCAATTCAATAAATATTTATTAAGACTTTTCTATGTGCCAGCTACTGTTCTTGTCAGTGGACAAAGATGACAAATCCTTGAACTCCTGGACTTCATATTCCAACAACATAAACATAAAACACTTGACTTCACAATTTGTCATTTAATTATAAATTTTTATAAGTATCGTAAAGAGGTATGGGATGGATGATGAACTGTGGGATCAGGGAAAGGATTCCTGAGGAAGAGACACACTGTCACCGGTGGGGAAGAGATGGTCCATGGTAGAGGGTACAATATATGCAAAAACCCTGATATTTGAAGGAGCAGGGTTAATTCAGAAAATCAAAAAAAAAAGCCACCAGGATTGGAGGACAGAGACTAAGGGTGCATGAAGAGGTTGCTAAGGTCAATGGGATGTTAATTATGATGAGGTCTTCTCAGTCATTATAGCTAGAGGAAGCCATTATAGAATTTAAAGAGCAATGGGAAGCCACTATAGGATTTTAAACAAAACAATAAAATAATCTGATTTATGTTTTAGAAAGATATATACTCTGCTATGTAGAGAACAGATTCTAGAGGGAGCAAATGTGGATACTTGATAATCAAATTAGGAAATTCTTACAGTAGTCTAGGTAAACAATGTCTTTGTACATTTGTCTTTGACTGGGTGTCTCTGACTAGGATGTCTTTGACGAGGATGTTTCAGCAAAGATGAAAGACATAGATTGATGTTTTTAAAAAAGGATATTTTAATTTTATATTATCTGTTATTCCTTCAGACATCAATTTAAATTATGAAAAGTCTTGAGTAATTAGTCTATTTTGTACCATCTTATAAAAACATTTTCATTTGTGCATCCATTCGTTCAACAAATGTGATCTATAAAATGTGAGACAGTCTGCTAAATACGGTACATTCATAGATAAATTAGACATTGTATATACCTGCCCTCCGATTTAATTTCTATACAGACCTGTTACCTACATTATTATGTGCTATAGAGCAGATGCTGTGAAAATCCGGTTGAAACATTTAAGCCATATTGGGGGTTAGAGAGAGATTTTAGAAGTATTATAGTCAAAGGACTGAATAGCCGCCAGGTTGGCTGTGGTGAGTAAGTAATTGAGAGTGGCCTTAGGAATCACCTGGTCCAGTGTACTATCTGTGATCACCCTTATATAAATCTGTTATGCCTTTTTCCATACCAGCTTTGATACTGATTTAGAGCAAAGAAAAAAACCATTAAAAAAAAAAAGCAAAAAAAGTTACTTTCACATAGTAAACATTGCCATCTTGTGGTTTTATTAGAAACTGCATTTCTTTTATGCTAAGATTCGTGCAAACCTGCAGTATTTACTGTAAGTTGCACTTGGGAAGCAGTAACATATTTCACAGC